TGATGAATTCTCCTCTGAACACTGCTTTAGCCATATCCTAAAAGTTTTGATGTGTGATTTTCAATTGTCATTTTTCTAGAAATTTTTCAGTTGTTGCTTTCTCGCTCTCTGGCCCAAGAGAAAGACTGTTTCTTTAAGTTTCCATGTGGAAGGGCATTTATCTTTTCTGACCTTATTATTATTATCTAGTTTGCTCCACTATAGTCGGAGAATTGTATCTGTATCATTCCTACTTTTGGGGGGAAATTACTGAAGTTTATTGTGCCAGAATGTGTGGTCCATTTTCATTAATACTTTGTTGAAACTTGAAAAATTGTGTTCCCAGTTTTCAGTGAGAAGATGTCAATATAGATCCATAGATCTAACTTTTGAGTAAGTTAGTAGCATCTTCTGTGTTCATAACTTTTATCTACTTGATTTCTCTAGTCCTAAGAAAAGTGAACTAAAATCACCTATTACTGCCTTTCTGAATAGTTCCCTAGTATCTTCCTTAATTTCTGCTCCGTGATGGTTACTTATATGCTATTTGGACTTACATATCTCTTAGATATCCATTTTTAATTTTACACTTTCCATTATAAAGTGCCTTCTTATCTCAATCAATTTGGAGAGATGGATCTGAATGTCACCTTGTTTAATAATAAGATTGACCTCTGCTTTCTTTAGGTTTACATTCTCTTTTTTTATGCCTTTGTCTATCATTTGATTTGTTGAATAAATGAGTGAATCTTTCAGGACTTCCCTATCAATCCAGTAGTTAAGATTCCATGCTTTCGCTGCAAGAGGAGTGGGTTTGATCTCTGGCCAGGGAACTAAGATCCACATGCTACATGAAGTGGCCAAAAAATTAAAATTTGAAAGTGAGAAAAAACTGAATCTTTTTGAGTCACTGTATTTTTAAGCATATCTTTTGTATATTGCAAACAGCAGAGTTTTTCTTTTAATCTAATCTGAAAATATTTTTAACTTTAATATTTTAATGAGTTAAGTCCTTTTACAATTATTAATATGGCAGATGGATTCAGTACAATTTGGAGATTATTATTTTCTATTAAACATGTTTATATGAGTATTGCATTTTTAAAATCTTTCACTATATCTTTCAGTGTTTTTCTAAATTGCAGTCTTTCAGATTTTTGGGAAACTTTATGTTGGCATTATCTTGATTTTATCTTTATATAATGCAGTTAGTTTCTCCCTTCTTTAGATAGTTCCTATTAGTTTTCTACTATAAACAAAACTAGCTTATATTCTCTCCCTTCCTCTTCAGTTGACTTTGTGTATACCTTTGTATTCTTAAATATGTTCTAAACATGTGAAGTTGGGCAAAGTCCACCTTGACCGAGCTCTGCGTCCCAGACAAGTGAGCAAATGTTTCTCAGTCTCCATTTCTCATTCTTACAATTGGGAAAGCAACATATGCTGCAGAAGTTTCCCTTAAAGGTGGAGTAAGATATGGCAGGTTTTTAGCACAGCAGGAGCACAGAGAAAGCACTCCATGAATGCTTATTATTGATACTGAATATTATAATTCATAAAAGTTCTTGAAACTCAGTATTTCCCAGGACCAACAGATGGCACTGGATTCAAGTAAATGGATGCTCCTCTCACTCAGCACCCAAAACAGGGAAGATCTTTGTTTTCCCTTCCCCCTAGTCCTTCCTCTGCAGATTCTGACAGTTCCACACTTCCTTCTGAGTTCCCAGTGCCATTCAGAGGCAAGTGGCTGCCCCACTCAGCTAGGTTGTGAAGGACTTGAAGGTCAGTGTTGTTCCCACATTGGGCAGGGCAGGCAGGGTGGGAGCTTGTTTGGGGACCCACAGTAATCTGAGAGTTTCCTGTTTCCTCTTCGCCATTCATATCTTGCTTCGGAAAGAGCAGCACACGGCTGAGTGGAAACACTCTGAAGGTAAGTGATGAGAAGATGGGGGATTTAAGGGATGGGAGTCAAACGGTGATGGGCAGTGGGAGGGGAAAATGAAAAGAACTAGAACTGGACTGCCCTGGTGGTCCAGTGGTTAAGAATCCACCTGCCACTGCAGGGTTGTGGGTTCGATCCCTGGTCTGGGAAGATTCCCGCATGCTGTGGGGCAGCTGCACACCACAGCTACTGAAGCCAACTGCCCTAAAGGCTGTGTGCTGCGACAAGAGAAACCACCGCATCAGAAACCCTTGCACCACAACTAGAGTAGTCCCCACTCACCACAACTAGAGGAAGCCCTCAAGCATCAACCAAAACCCAGCACAGCAAAAAAATAAGTAATTTAACAAAATAATAACTGGAACTCTGGACAAATCAGAATTACTAATGCCTGTGGTTACCAGGCAGACCATACTTGTAGGAGTTTGTTGAATACACTGTTGGGGAATGTTTTTCTGTGTCTCTGAAGTGAGTCTTACCTGGGACTGTCCCTCAAAGATAACACATTTTCATGATCCCCTATGATCCTAGGGTCTGCTGCACCTTCCTGTTCTGCCCATCCGGATGCCTGAGTTTCCCTCCCAGCTCTCTGACTGATGGGCTCTGTGATTTCAGGCCCCTTTCCCTATCTATAAAAGATTTGACAGCTATACTATTTTTAAGATGTCTTTCAAGTTTTAGGTATTATGAATCCACGGTATAATTATACTGAGGTTACCAAAGAATTTTAATAGATCGTTTTCTCTGTGAAGACTATAGTTCCCACAAGGTAGAGGATACAGAACTTATTATTCCTATTTTACAGATGGAGGAAGGACACTTGGTGGGGAGGGGAAAGAATCAGGCCAGACTTCTCTCTCTCCCAGTGCTTATTTCGCCTTTGGTGAAATTTGGAAGTCTACCCACTCCAGTATCCTGGCCTGGAGAATTTCATGGACTATACAGTCCATGGGGTCGCAGAGAGTCTCAGACAGGACTGAGCGACTTTCACTTTCACTTTCTCTCTCTCCCAATGCTTGTTTCACCCCCAGTGAAATTTGAACAGTAAACAAGTGTGGAGCAGCAGGACTACGCAGATGAAGTAAAGGTTCACACGCATAGGAAGTTATTTACTCTGGCCTCACCCTGATCCCAACAGTTGCCAGGCAGAAACAAATCCAAAACAACAAAAGTTCTGGTGAGTTCAGTGCTGGTCTGGGAAGTACCTGCTGCTTCTGGGAAAGTGAAAGTTTCAGTTTTCTAAAAAAGAGCAAATGTAAGACCTTTCAGGAACCAGTGACTGTACAGCTTTGGAATGTCAGTGAGTTGTGGGTGTAAGGAATATTGAGATGGAAGACAGTAGAGGAAGGAGATTTATTCACTTACCCAAAACAGTTCTTTATCATTCAATGTGAATGGAGCCCTCTGCCAGGCAGTAGACACGAAGCTTAATAAGACAGATGGCCTCCCCTGCAGGGGCTCACGGTAGTTTCAGGACAGAGGTTGATGGTGGGAGTGGAGAATTTAATAGGGACAGTGAGAGAGGTGAGCCCCTGGAGCAGAGCAGCAGGAGCTCGTGGAAAGGAGCACTGAGATGATAAGAGAAGGATTCCTGGGAGACTTAAACTCTGAGGTGAATCTTAAAGAACTAGGGCCTAATGGGGAGCCATTTAGGGAATGGCAGGGCGCGCCATATACAGAGGCACAAAGGTATCAGGAGGGCAGGAAGTTTGTCATGGATGGAACATCCTTTCCAAAAGGAAAACCAGAGAGAAATGGGCTAGATAAGCTGTATTTCTGGGGAAGAAATATCAATGCAGAAAAGAGAAGGGACAGAGGAAGGAGTGATACTGCTTTACTTGTCCCCTAGAAAGAAAAATGACTTCATTAACAATGTCTGGAAGAGATGAACCAATAGTAGGGGAACATCTTTGGACATGAGATCATTCCCTGGTGGCTCAGATGGTAAAAAAATCTGCCTGTGATGCAGGAGACCCCGGTTCAATCCCTGGATCAGGAAAAACCCCTGGAGAAGGGAATGGCCACCCACTCCAGTATTCTTGCCTGGAGAATCCCATGGACAGATGAGCCTGGTGGGCTACAGTCCATGGGGTCGCAAAGAGTCAGACACGACTGAGTGACTAACACTTTCACAACACAATGAATGAAAGTTTTAACAATGGGATTAGAGAGAAGATAAGGGATTCAGAGCTGTTCACAATTAGGAAGTGAAAGCTGTATGAGATCTGATTATACAGTAGACTATAACACAAGATACCATATAATTGGTTGAGAGTGTGGACTGTGGGGTCAGACCTGGATTCCAAGTCCAATTCCACCACTGTGCAACCTTGGGAAAGTCCTTTAATCTCTTTGAGACTCAGTTTTCTCATACACACAATGGGGATGAGGGTAAACAACGTCAAAGGGTTGAGGATAAGGATTAAAAATGATAATACACAGAAAAGACTTGGCATATTTCCTACACATATTAAAACACTGTACTGTAGATGTTATCAAAGTTTTATTAATATTGTTAATTAGGGAACAGTGCTCTGCTCCTCCATATCCTAGTGGTCCCCAAAATATTAGACCCTGGTGGGAATTGAGAAAAATACAGGGAAAGGGAAACTCATGAATATTTATGTATCTCAAAGAACAATCCAAAGACTAATCAGACAGCTAGCAAAATAGTCATGGTGATTATCTCTGGGACATGAAACAGTGCATAATTTTACTTTTCCCCTTCTGACCTGTCTCTATTGTCTAAATTTACTATACAAATGTATGCTATTTATGTAAGAAAAAAGTTTTAAATATATTCAAGATACCACAGTACAGTACTCTGCACCAGGCAAAGCTCTGTTCGTCAAGTAACTAAGCTTCCTGGATGCAGACAGATACCAGGGCTCCAGTCCCCCGCCCTCCCATGGCCCCAGCAGAAGTACCCACAGTCTAAATCCAGCTCCAAAAACAACCAGCCAGGAAAACCCAAGGCAGGATCTACTCCGGGGCGCTGAGGTGGCCCTGGGCAGGGCCGGGCGTGTCTGGGGTCTCCTCGCTCTTGTTCTGCTTCACCAGCCAGGAGTAGAGGTCCTGCCCGTCCACGAGCTGCTCGGGGCCCTGCAGCCGGCCCTGCCTCAGCACCAGGACCTGGTCGGCGCTCTGAACCGTCTGCAGCCTGTGAGCGATCACCAGCACCGTGCGGGCCCCGTGCGCTCTCCAGTCCTGCAGCTGAAGGGGGAGGATCGCGATGCCATGGGCGCCAGATAAGAAGGGGCTGGACGCCCGGGGCCCACGGCTTAGGGGGAAGAGGCGTGAGCCACGAGAAGGTAGCACAGGGCAGAAGGGCAAGGTCGGCTGCCCTCCTCCCTCCGCGGGGTCAGGCAGCCTCAGAGGATCGGGAGGTCCCCGCGCGCCCCGGCCCCACGAGGGGTCCCGCCGCCGCGCACTCACCGCCTGCTCACACTCCACGTCCAGGGCACTGGTGGCTTCATCCAGGATGAGGACGCGGGGGTCCCGCACGAGGGCCCGGGCGATGGCCAGACGTTGCTTCTGCCCCACCGCCAGCTGGCTGCCTTTCTCCCCCACCTCTGAGGAGACCGAGAAACCCCCTCTCCTCAGAGACAGGGGCCCAGACAACGACCGCTTCACAAGCGCGGCTAGGACTTCCCCAGGCCCCGCTCCGGAGGACGAGCGCCCGTGGACCGGGCTGGGGGGGTGCGGGGGTGGAATCTCCGCCGCGGCCGATTCTCCGGGAACACGGCTCCCGAGGGGCTCAGGCGGCCACAGCGCCCAGTTCGCGGGCGCCGGGGGCGAGCGCAGGGGCCGCAGGTACCTGTATCGAGCCCGAGCTTCAGCGCGCGGATGAACTCCTCCGCGCGAGCCGCGCGGGCCGCCGCCAGCACCTTCTCGTCGCTGCAGCCCTTCAGGCCGTAGGTGATGTTGTCTCTCACCGAGCCCGAGAACAGCACGGGCTCCTGCCCGACCAAGACCACCTGGGCGGAGGCGACAGGAGCAGAGGGCTTGCGGAAACCCCCGCGGCAGGGACGCGCCCTTCCTTCTCGCCCGCGCCCCTCACTACCGACGCCTTGGGTTCCCTCCCCTGCCCTCTGCCTACCCCTGGCCGTCCTCCCCACCTGACGGTGCAGGTAGCGGTGCTCATACTCGGAGACCGGCGCCCCGTCCAGCAGCACCCGGCCCTCAGTGGGCTGGTACAGATTCTGCAGCAGCGCGGCCACCGTGCTCTTCCCAGACCCGTTGGGCCCCACCAGCGCCGTCATCTGCCCAGGACTCAGGGTGAACGTCAGACCCTAGAACAGCCGGGGAAGAATCAGAGGTCTGCCCCTTCTCCTGGCCTCCCCTCTCCTTGAGGCCGATCATCCGAGCAGGGAGTCAGGGGCCCAGTCTCCCCCCATCGGGCACCTGGAGCGCAGGCTGGTCAGGGCGACTGGGATACACAAAGGAGACGTTCTGGAAATTCACCAGGCCCTGCAGAGTCGATGGGGCCAGAGTACCCGGTGGAGGCAGATCTGGCTTTCGGTCCAGGTAGCAGAACACCTTCTCAGCTGCCCCCACGTTGCTCAGCATGTCCCCAAATATGTACACCAGGGTCTGCAAAACAGGAGGGCAGGGCTCAGCTAAGCAAAGTCAACTGCACCACGAACCAGCTTCCCAGCTCCTACACAGGCCCGCCACACTCCACCCCAGCTGGGCGTCTCCCCTTGTCCCAAAAAGATCACCACCTTTAATTTTTAAAGATTAAAAAAAAAAAAAAAACTTTCTTAGAAAAGACTTTTTTACTGGAGAAAGGAATGGCAACCCACTCCAGTATTCTTGCCTGGAGAATTCCATGGACAGAGGAGCCTGGCAGGCTATATAGTCCATGAGGTTGAAGACTGGGATGCAACTGAGCAACTAACACTTTCACTTTCTTGAATAATGAGGCAGATGGCTTCCATATGAGATAACTAGCATAAGAGTATTAAAAAAAAATTTTTTTTTACAAAAAATTTTGGATGCCCCAGGTGGCAAGTGGGACCCTAGTTGCCCCACTAGGGATCAAACCCATGCACCCTGCAATGGAAGCACAGAGTCCTAACCACTGGACAATCCGGAATAAATGTGCAATTTGACTCAACTTAAAATGGGCACCAATACCCCATTATTCCAATTTGTAACATAAAGGATGGAGACATCTTTACTCCTCCCATCCAGCGTCACCTTCATCTCTAGACCTTTCCAGCTACTGTGCTGTGTTACTTGTACATAACTGTCTAGCCTGGTGAGACAGGGACTCCTTAAATGCAAGCACTGTGCCCACCTCATCTTTGCAGCCACCAGACTGCCTCACACAGCTCTCCACACATCAGAGATGTTTACAAAAATTATAAACTAAAGCCCAAGATGCAGTAACTAATTACTTTTCAAAACTGGTGTATATAAGGAGGGTGTCCCAGGAGGCTCAGTGGTAATGAATCTGCCTGCCAATGCAGGAGGCAAAGGTTCAATTCCTGGTCCGGAAGAAGCCCTGGAGGAGGGCAAGGCAACCCACTCCAGTATTCTTGCCTTAATATCCCATGGACAGAGGAGCCTGGTAGGCTACAGTCCATGCGTTTGCAAAGAATCAGACAGGACTGAGCAACTGAGCACACATCTATAGGGAAAGAACTCAATGCTCATTCTGCCTTTCCTAATCAAACATTACCACACAGCAGCTTATCAGCACATGAGAAGACATCTCCCCTGAGAGATGCATCCTGGCTAATACATGAAGGAATGGCAGTGTCACCATTTTTGCAACCCTGAATAATTTAATAGATCATGACACTAAGCTTTATTGACTTTTGCCACCACAGGTGTATATGAGAGAGAAAAAAAGACATCAATATAATACATACCTCTATGAAACATGTGGAAATTTGACCTCTGTATTTGGTGAGGTTATTGTTAATTTTTTTGGTATGATCATGGCTTTGTGGTTATGTATTTGTAATGTTTACATTTAGAGATACATATTTACAGATGAAACCATATCTTGGCTTTGATTCAAAGTAATATGGGTGGGGAGAAGTCAGTGGGTGGTACAGATGAGATAAGATTGGCCATGAGTTGATAACTGTTAGATGCTGGGAGATAAAAAACAAGGTCCCGTTGTACAGCACAGAGAACTATAGTCTATATCCTCTGATATACACACACAATTACATGTAAAATAGATAACTAATAAGGACCTACTGTAGAGTACAGGGAATTGTATTCAAAACTCTGTAATGACCTACATGCGAAAAGAATCTAAAAAAGAGGGGATATATATATATATATATATATATATATATGCATAACTGATTCACTTTGCTGGATACCTGAAATTGTCATAACATTGTTTGTTAATCAGCTAGATACCAATATAAAGTAAAAAGTTGTCTTAAAAAAGTTAAACAAAAAGTAAAAAAAAAAAAACAGATGCTGAGTACAAGGAGGTTCGTGTTTATAGATTTATCATTTTCCTCTCTTTTTAACCCACGTTTGAAATATTAAACGACAATGAGTTGGGGTTATTTCCGTTTGTTTTTTTAAGGGGAACAAATAGAAGCCAAAGGAGGAAAATGAGAGCACGCACAGCTCCCGACTCACTTGCATGTAGTTGCCCACGTCCTCCTGGTAGAGCAGGAAGGAGAGGAGCCCACCTCGGGTGAGGTTCCCGGCCAGGATCTGCTGCAGCGCACAGTTCAGCAAGAGCACCTGCATCGCCAAGTGCAGCATCTGAAGGGAGAAGAAAGGGGAGCCTGAGGACCTTCCACTCTTTGGCCTCCCTGCCCCTACGACGAGACATTCCATCCGACACAAAAACACCTATTACATTACATTCATTCGACTCTAACTACAATAAGTAATATAAACTTTGAAGATGCTGGAGCCAGGTGGCAAATGAAGGAGTAAATGGATGGATGCTTGACACAGAATGGTGAAGGAACAAATGCAGACTTTTCTTCGTTTCAGTATTTTGTGCTTCATGCACAAAGGGGATTGAAAACAGGACAGTGAGGTCCCCCGGAAAAACTGGGGACTAACAAATGGCTCATCACCTACCTCCCAACAGAGAAGAGACACATGAAAAAGATGGCTCTGGCAAAGGCATCAGGAATCCCAAGGACCCCCAAGACCAGCCCCCACGTGCACCCTTCCTCCAGCCCTCAGCTTCCTCACCCTCCTTAAGAGCACATAGAGGGCCTGTTCCAGGTCCCGTCGCCACCACAGCTGCCGGCATCGTTCAAGGGCCTCCTTATAGCGACGGACCTCTTGCTCCTCGGCTCCAAAACTGCGCACAGTCTGCAGCCCTCCAACAGACTCCCGTACCACCTGCCCAGCTTTCGCCATAGCATCCTGGATCTCCCAAAGGACTGCCTGGAACAGTGGGGCCAAGAATGGAGCGGGCCAATTTGGCAGAAGACAGCCAACCCACACACCCAACTCCAGTCCCTTCATGCTAAGTGAAGTAAGACAGAGAAAAACAAATATTATATGATATTGTTTATATGTGCAATCTAAAAAAAAATACAAGTGAATCTATACACAAAACAGAAACAGACTCGTAGACAATAAAAAAAAAAAATCTTATGGTTACCAAACGTGGAGGAGGGGATACATTTGGAGTTTGAGGTTAACAGATATAAATCACTGACACAAAATAGATAAACAACAAGGATTTACTGTATAGCACATTCAACATCTGAAAATCTCTCCCTCTCCCAAAAACACACAGGTTCGCATAAAGTCCCTGGGGATTCCCCAGTATCCACACATACCTGATGACGGGCATTGTACACCTTTTCAGCCGCTATCATGAGAGGCACCTCGAACAGAGAGAGGAAGGTGAGTCGAGGTGACAGTTTGAGCATGAAGCTATAAAGTCCCAGCACTTTGACCAGGCTTCGAGACATCACATTGGTGTTAAAAGGAAGCCAAGAACTCATCAGTTTGGTATCTGAGCTCAGCCGGGAATTCAGCTCCCCTGGGCAGGACAGAGCAGGAAAGGAAACCACGTGTTATAATGCAGAACCCCCAGAAACTCCCTCCTGACCTCCTGATCTCATGGAGCCCTCCCTCCTTGCAGAGAGACAGGTCCCCAAAGAGAGAAAAACAGCTCCCAGCCCTGGCACCAAGGATGCAGGCAGAACCGGCTGGGTTCAGGTAGGTGGCAGCAGATGGGCAAGGAACATGCAGGGGGACCCGAGACCTGCACCCCAGGCCTTACCTGTCTTAGTCTCTTGGAAGAAAGGGAGGTCCTGGCGCAGGAGGGAGGAGAAAAGCATCTCCCGGATCCGCAGGTTGATTCTGGACATGGTGAAGAGGAAGATGCTTCCTCGGCAGCCTGCACACAGTGAGCTGTGGGGAGAGAGGGTTGAAGAATGAAGGGGAGAGAGATGCAAAGAGGAAGGGGGAGGGAAGGAGAAGAAAAAGCACAGAAGGAAAAGAAGTGCAAAGTTGGGGACAGTATATCAAGAGAGCAGAAGAGAAACAAATAAGAGACATAAGGGGCAGGAATCAACAGAGGGAGGAAAAAAGAGGACCGGGTGAGCCTCATCCTAGTCCCAACCCTACCAAGTAGTTAGTTAGTTCGTTTGTAGACAGCCGATTCCTGGCTGTGTTGAAAAACAAAAGGGAAAGTAAATACAATGGAAAAGAGTAAAGATGCTGGAAAGAAAGGTGACAAGGCTTAGAGTAAGAGCTTCCAGGACTGACAAGATGAGTTAGGGAAGAAGGGTCAGGATGAACAAACACGTCCCCCCCACCCCACCCCACCCCGACCATAGGCTAACTGTGGAAACAAACACGAGCTGAGAGGTCAGAGTCAGAAAAGAGAAATGGAACTTCACGGAGATAAAAATGCTCAGAGGCAACTGAGAGACATTCCATTCAACACAAAAACACCTAATGTACTACACTCACTCGTATCTGAACTGCAATAAGCAATATAAACTTTTGAAGATGTTGGAGCCAGGTGACGAATGAAGGAGTAAATGGATGGATGCTTGACATAGAACAGTGAATGAACAAATACAGGCTTTTCTTCGTTTAAGAATTTTGTGCTTTGTGCACAAAGGGGATTGAAAATAAGAAAGTGAGGTCCCCTGTAAAAACTGGGGGCTAACAAATGGCTCATCACCTACCTCCCAAAAGAGAAGAGACACATGAAAATGATGGCACTGGCAAAGGCATCGGGATCAAAGTCGCCCCCCAGGATGTCAATCACACGGCCAGAATAGTAAGGGATCACGGTCTCACCTGCAACGGGCAGGAGGACCACAGTCAGAGTGTGGCTGCTAAAGGGCCTCCTCCCAGCCCCCGAGTCCCCACGCCCTCTCCCCACTCACCCAACACGGCCAGAGAGAGGAAGGAGAAGGCAGCAACCAGGAAAGGCAGGTCAGGCCAGGAGAGCTTCAGCAGCCGCCACATCAAGACTCTGTTCTGGCCCTGCCCCTCCGCCTTGGCTCCTGGAAGGCTCAGCGCGGCCCACAGGGCGCTGCTCAGCCCCACCGCCCCATAGCCCAGCAGCAGCCAGGCCCAGGGCGCTGCAGCCACTCTGAGCGGAGGGGCGCTCAAGGCCCCGGGGACCAGAGCCCGCAGGGAGAGAAACAGGGGGATCACCAGGCAGAGGGCGGGCAGCAGCGCTTCCACACACCCCAGCAGCCCTCCCAGCCTCAGCAGCCCCCAAAGTCCACCGAGCCGCAAGGCGCCCTCCAGCCACAGGCCGGGGAGCCCGCGGGGAAGCAGGGCCCCCAGGGGCCCCTGTAGCAGCCAGAGCAAAGCCAAGTCCGCCAGCAGCAGGGAGACCCAGGGTCTCAGGTCCGGGCGCCACATGGCGAGATCTAGGGGTAGAAGAGAAGGCCAGAGGTGGCTTCCAGTCCCTGTCCCCACTCCCACTCTGCCCAAGCGTCCGCTGGCTTCTTTTTTTTTTTTTAACCCTGTGCTGCCCTGAAAGATGCCCTGGGTACCCCGTCTCACGAGCACCCCCCATCCTAGGACCCAAGGCATTTGGCCTGACAGAGGCAGCTGGGAAGCCTGACCATCTGCACCTGACCATCTCGTCCTCTAAAACACGTCCCGAGACCCCCTCCGCACACCCCGGCCCCACCAGCCGTCGCCGAGTTCCCAGGGGCCAGACGATGCCCGCCGCGCTCCCCAGGCTCCCGGTCCAAAGGGACGGGAGGCGGGGGCGCAGCGCGCGCGCCGGGCGGGCTGTGCCTGAGTCAGCGTTCCGGGTTTCCACGCGCACGAGCTCACCAGTGGCGGCTCCCGGGCTCTTTGCTAGCGTGCCGAGGGCTGAGCTCTGAGGTCCCCTCGCGCGGCCTCCGCTCCGTCTCGCCTCTGTCGGCGGGCGAGGCTCCGCCAGCCGGGGGCGGCCAGGCTCCTGGGCTTTCGCTTTTGCTTTCGCTTCCGCATCGGCAGCCGCTGCCTGGTTGCGCGCCTGGCGGCCGGCCGGGGGCGCGCGACACCCGTGGGCTGCGAGACAGGTGCCCGAGGCCGGCTCCGCGTGCCGGGGCGAGTCTGCCACCTTCAGCCACAAGTACTCTGCCGTAGGAAACTACTGCACTTCTTAAAACTGCCATTAAGTAAGATGACGCTGTTTCAAGGATTAGGATGCTTTGCAATTGAAGAACCACTGGAATTTCTTACCTCCGCTCTGAGGTGACTGCAGCCATGAAATTAAAAGACGCTTGCTTCTTGGAAGAAAAGCTATGACCAACCTAACAGCATATTAAAAAACAGAGACATTACTTTGCCAACAAAGGTCCGCCTAGTCAAAAATATGGTTTTTCCAGTAGTCATGTATGAATGTGAGAGTTGGACCATAAAGAAAGCTGAGCGCAGAAGAACTGATGGTTTTGAACTGTGGTGTTGGAGAAGACTCTTGAGAGTCCCTTGGACTGCAAGGAGATCCAACCAGTCCATCCTAAAGGAGATCAGTCCTGGGTGTTCATTGGAAGGACTGATGCTGAAGCTAAAACTCCAATACTTTGGCCACCTGATGTGAAGAGCTGACTCATTAGAAAAGACCCTGATGTTGGGAAAGATTGAAGGTGGGAGGAGAAGGGGATGACAGAGGATGAGATGGTTGGATGGCATCACTGACTCGATGGACGTGGTTTTGAATAAACTCAGGGAGTTGGTGATGGACAGGGAGGCCTGGCGTGCTGCAGTCCATGGGTTGCAAAGAATCAGACACCACTGGGTGACTGAACTGAACTGAGCTGAACTGAGCCTATTTTTAGAACAGCCCTCTTTCCCACATCCAAGTTCCAGTTGTGGGATCTCGGGGTTAAATAAAACAGCAGAGCAGAGACCAAGTGAGAAGCAAGCAGGACTTCTGGGAACAGGAGGCCCCTCCACTCCCACCAGGACCTGTGTGAGTTTCCACCTGCAGATTCTTCTCTGAGAAGGCCCTCACCCCACATCTTCATGTCTCCCTCAGCAGAGCTCCTGAGCAAGCACGTGCTCAGAAGCCTTTAAATTTGTGCTCCAGTTATGTGGGGGAACGCCTGCATCACATGAGGAAAGTGGACTTTGTTTCTTGGTCTACTCTCACACTGATTAGTTTCAGTAATTGCGTTTCTATAGGTCTGACCAGACCCAGAGCCCATCTGTGGAACACGCAGCTAGGTTTATTCCAGAAATAACTCTTCTGGTTGAAACTACCTCCCAGACTCAAAATGTCCCCCAAGGGAGGACCACTTGAATTCCAAACCACCCTCTTGAAATGTTATTGGCACAATTACCATGAGTCACTTCAAATTTAGATTTGAAGTTAGGAAATTATTTAAACTTCTCCAACCCTGTTCATTCTGGAATTTTAAGGATCTCTCTCTAAAAAACAACAAAAAACAAACAAACAAAAAAAACTCCACACTCAGCTGCTTTCTACTTACAGGCTTTTCTCTTGATTAACTCTCCTGGGAAAGTGACATTGTGCAGTTCAAGGGACTCCCAACATAATTCAGAGAATCTCACAATGGGGACCTCCCTAGCTGTCAAGTGGGACACTTCTAATCCAGGAGACATGGTTCAATCCCTGGTGAAATGATTTTAATATTTAATAGAGGATTAACTGGCCTGATTTCAATAGACAGTCATTAAAAAGAAGAGAAATAGAAACAATTGAGAAAAGTGAACAGAACATACATCACCAAATTGGGTTAACCAACATTCCAACTTACACAGCTGGGAAGTCCCTCGTTAACAGCAAATCTGCAGTCCTAGTTAGGAAAAGTTCCCGAGTGGTGCATCCACCCAACAAGTGAGACTTCAAATTGCAGTTTCAGGGGCTCCTGATTATAATTCCAAGCCACAGACTGATATCAACAGGAGTTTGTGTGCAAAAATACAGCTCCGGTTTTACTTTAACCTTTTTATAATGCTATTTCTTTTACCTTGCGAGTCATAGAATTTCATTACATGTTGGGGGGTTGGCCAGACCTCCAGGGACTCAAGAATTCCAAGGTCTACCCCTTTCTCTTTTTTAAATACAATTTTATTTTTTGTTTATTTTTTGCTGTGCTGGGTCTTCGTTGCTGCTCAGGTTTCTCTCTAGTTGTGGTGAGTGGGGGTACTCTCTAGTGCTTGCGTGGGCTTCTCGTTGCAGTGGCTTCTCTTGTTGCCAAGCCCAGGCTCTGGGCAGGAGGGCTTCGGTAGTTGTGTCTCCCAGGCTCAGCAGTTTGGCTCCGGGCTCTAAGCTCCAGGCTCAGTGGCTGCAGCACTCGGGCTTAGTTGCTCCGAGACACGTGAGATCTTCCTAGATTGGGGATCAAACCCATGTCTCCTGCATTGGCAGGTGGATTCTTCACCACTAAGCCACCAGGGAAGGCCCACCACTATCTTTCTAATCTCAAGTGCCACCTGACTTGCTCTGCTTGCAGACAGCCACAGAATCAGGCAGTGTCCAGGCAGGTCAGAGGCCTGCACTCCTGCTTCTGAAGCCTGAACAAGACTTCATCCTTTTTAATTTCCCTAACAAGTCAGGGGACTAAGATCCCACATACCATGCAGCAGAGCCAAAAGAAAAAGAAAGTCTCACTATGCCTGTCTCATCTTTCTAACCTGGTTACTTTTTCCTCATTTTTTCCCAACTTCAGCGAAGCCTCCTTATCTCCTTTTCCACTTCAATCACAGTCTTGTCATCTTGCAATGAGCATGACCCATCATGAAACCGAATGGCTAACATCCATCTTTCCGTGTAATCTCCACTCTGAAACAGGAGGGAAGAGGGCAGGGCCCAGCCTTTAAAAGAATGACAGAGCCCAAGGACACAACATAAACAGGCTGAACCAAACAGGTCCAAGATGGTGGACAAGTCGACTCACCCTAGATCTTGATCGTAGGTGTGTGCTCACTGTAACACATCAACGAGTTAAATGACCCACCCACAAGGTGCCATGGCAGTTTCAAGATCAACCATCAAAAACCCGAAAGTGGGCGGGAGCCCAGTTCCTGGAAATCTCCACCCTTTCCCCAAAATAGTTGGAATAATCCTCCCACTCATTAGCCTATGAAGTTACCCAGCCCATAAAAGCTAACCATACTACATTTCAAGCCCATTCTTGCCTTCTGAAATGGCCCACACTCAGTCTGTGGAGTGTGTTTCTCTCTAAATAAATCCACTTCTTACCTATCACTTTGTCTCTCACTGAATTCATTCTTCAATGAGACGTCAAGAACATGAGCTTCATGAAGTCCTTAAACCAGGTGTGTGATCTCAGCTAGAAGATCCTGAGCTTTGTCTGGATTCACACTCCGGCCACGTGGGTTCGAGTCCCAGTCTGAGATGAACTGTTTCATCTCCTCGGGGCTATCTGAGGCAAATGGGGCTATATTTACAGTTCCCGCACACGCATGAGGAGGAAACTTGTTCAAACAAAGTCAAAAACAGGTGTTCCAAGTGCCCTACTCCAATGTATCCAAACCATTAACAAGCAACCACACAGAGCCTCCCGGTTGTGAGCCCGCAGAAAGGACCCTAAGCTAGGTTACACTGCACACAGGCGTCCATAGACAGCACGGAGCCTTCCAGAGGTCCTGGAGAAGTGAGAGCGGAAGCCCAGGTGAAATGTTTGGTGAGGCCCAGTTTCTTAGGCAGGGGTTTCTCTCTTCTTAGGAAAAATCTGCCTCCATTTCCTGTCCCCTCCCCCCAGCCACCCCAGCCCTGAGCCCACAGCCACAACACACAGCTTTTATAACCGTTTTCCTTTATTGTGCTTAGGTTGGGGTGGAGGTGACATTCGTTGAGACAGAGAATACACAAAGGGATAGACTCTGTGCTGCCTTCCAGTGGCCCCTGGTTCTCCGTCTCTGGGCCAGGTCAGGCCTCCTCCTCCCAGAGTGCGATCCGGCCAGGTCCCTGAGTCAGCCAGGCTTCCCCCGAGGAGGCCCGCGGGTCACCGCCACCATTACTGGCTGGCCTCCCGGTACTGGTGCATCAGGTCACTGACGTCTGTGCTTTCCACTTTCACCCAGCCGTCCTCCTTCATGTGGTACACTGCAGGCACACGGGAAAGAACACGGAGTCAGGCTCCCCTCAGTGAGGTCCTGCTAACGCTGTTACGTCGAAGGCAATGACGGCAACACACATTCTCGAAGCCCTTATGACGGGGACTTCAGTGCCCCTCTTCCGGCTCTGGAAGTCTGCTCTCTGCCACCCTGCCTCCCCCGTATCTCCCGATCTCAACCCCCTTCCCCCCACCCCAGGGACAGAGAGGGGCACTTTGATCTCTTACTATTGACAAAGCCTCCAGAATAGCTGTCTCGGTGGGTGGCATGAACAATTGCCCTTCGGCCCAGGTCATAGGCCTCTTCAATACTAAGGTCAGGTCGATAGCCACTATCCATAACCCCATAGGCATGGGAGTTCCCACTACCGGTGGAGAACATATTTCCTGAGAGTCGAGTCCCATCGTCATCCACATAGTAGAGTCCAGGACCCTATAGGGAGCAAGAAAGTTCCAGGCTGGAAGTTGTTGGTAATACCCAGATTCAAGTGTGAGCCACAAGAAGTGGACCAAAGACTACAGATGAGCCCAGGAACATGGGAACTAGGAAAGCACTTTGGAAACAATCGTAGAACTTTGAGGAGGAAAAGCAAACTTCAAATCAGCTATTTGATCCAAAGGGATGAGTTTATGAAACAATGGTCCACATCCGGACCCAGAAATTGCTGCTGAGTAACAGTTCTGAAACTAAGCATTCTCTGTGCCCTGCATCCTGGAGGGGAGGGGAGGGGAGTGTGAGGTGGGGACACTTACCTCTCATCTACACTTTGGAATACGGAGCAGGGAGGGGACTCACCTTCTTGTCCCAGCCACAGATCATGCTGCCCATGGAGAGGCCCATGCCCCGGTACTGGCACATCATGTTGGAGAGCAGCTTGGAGGCAGCCGACACAGAGATACGCTCCCCATTCCGCAGATAGTACAGCCTGGGTGAGGACAGGACAGTCCAGGGAAAGAATTTACAAGGGGCAGAAGGGCAGCCCTCTGGGCAGGCTATTTGATGGGCAGAAAATGGCTGAAGAGATAAGCATCTAAAAGGAATGGCACGGATGGGCAAAGATCTGGAATTTATATAGAATTCTTTTCTTTTTTTTTAATTCTTTGGGCTCTTGGTGGAACATGTGGGATTTAGTTCTTGAACCAGGGATCAAACCCATGCTCCCCATGTTGGTGTGCAGAGTCTTAACCACTGGACTGCCAGGGAAGTCATCAAAATCACCTAGAGAAATCCCAGTAAATGCTATCCCACCAGGGTTGATGGTCATTGCTAAATAATTGACAAATAACCTGGGCTTCCCCGGTGGCTCAGATGGTAAAGAATCTGCCCGCAATGTAGGAGACTCAGGTTCGATCCCTGGGTTGGGAAGATCCCCTGGAGAAGGGGCTGGCAACCCACTCCAGTATTGTTGCCTGGAGAATCCCATGGACAGAGGAGCCTGGCGGACTATACAGTTCATGAGGTTGCAGAGAGTCGGACAGGACTGAACTATTAACACTTTCACTTTCACTTTCAATCTGGCTTCTTGGCAGCAGCACAGGCTTGAGATTAGAGAGAAGGTTTTTTAATCACCAAAAGGCAGCTTTGTGAGATAGGACATTAGCACTAAGATGCTCTGTGAGTGTAGGGAGACTGGGGGAGGAGCAGTGATCTGCAGGATGCAGAACCCGGGCTGAGAAGAGAGTAAGAGGCCTGGCCTACCTGCACTCCTTGGCCAGCAGGCGCTCCCAGTACTGGCAGTCAGCCGCACAGCCGGACATGGTACCGAGCAGGTAAGGGTTAATCTCAATCACCTTGTTCACCTTTAATGTGGCTGGAAGAAGATGGAGTTTGGGGAGAGGGGGAATGAGCGCACAGGTTTCCCTAAATGTCCTGAGTCAACACCTGGTCCCACTTTGGTGCAGATTACTAGACTCCTGCTTGAGAGGAGGGCCCAGCTCCCCAGATTCCGCCAGCCAGAACCCACACACTCACCAATGTAATTCCCAGCTGAGGCCCGAGAATCCACGGCCACAATCACACCATGCTGGAACTTGAAGGCCAGCGTGGTCGTGCCGTGAGCCATCTCGATCTGCACGTTACTTTCTCCATTCCCACCCAGGGACCGGAAGAATTCAGTGGGCTAATGAGACAGAAGAGGCAGAGAAAGGACCACTGCAAACTTCCGAAGCTGGATGCTCCAGGAAAGCAAATTTACAGGGCATGGGAAGGTGAAGATAGCCATACCATGAATAAATGAAGCAGTTAACAACCCAGTTCTACAAGAAAATGATTGGGGAGAAGAAAAAGAAGAGGCCACGACACCGACCTTTTCCATTTACCAGCACAACCAGAAATGAAAATAAAAATTTTTTAAGTTACCATAACTAAACATTGTAAGGGTAACTATGATGATTTTCCATTCATAGGTAATTTAATCCTCAGGAAACACGTTTTATGAATCGTATCCCCATTTTACAGAAGAGAGGCCCAGGAGACCTAGACCAAGTCCTGGGGGACTTGACCGAGGCACACAATGGCGGAGGCCAGGCCCACCGCTCAAGGTCATGGGTTTCCCAAGAGTCTACAGCCCCTGTATCATAGGGTCACCCAATAAGGAAGACTCCGTGATCTGTGTGTGATGGAGAACGGGGATCCCACCCCCAACTCTTTGTCCTAGTCTGCACTTCCTAGCCCGCAGGCGGCCAGCCCCCAGGTCCCACGTGGCCTCTTCCCCAGCTCTGGCCCTGGACCCCAGACGAAGCTCTCCTAAAGGATGCCCCCTGCGCGATTCCCCGCTTCGGAACAGCCTCCATGCAGCCCCTCCGTTACTCTGCGCACACCCCCACCCCCGCCCGCCCGCCTCCCACGGGATTTTGTTAGAGCCCTGACCTGCATGCCCCGGGGGAGGGCGAGCTCCGGAGATCGCAGGGAGAAGCCGTAGTGGCCGGGGTCCGAGCGCTGCCGGCTTCCCGCGAAGGGCACAGCCCAGTCCCCCCGCTGCCCTCGGGGGGCTCCGCACACGTCCAGCAGCGCCATCGCTGCCCAGCACCCAGAGATCTGGCGGCTCGCGGAGAAGGAAGTGAAAGCGAAAGCCCGAAGCCTTAAGGGGAGGGAACCAGAATGTTTTCCACATCCCCCTGCCCTTTCCTAGGAGGCGTCCCGTGAGAGTCCGGGCACCGGGAGCGTTAGGTTGGGAAGAGGCTTCTCTGCTCCGCCTTCATGGAAATTGGGAAAACGACGGTGCCGGGCCGTTAGAAGAAAGGAAGAAAGACAGAGCGGCTTCGAAAGCCACCCCCCCCTCGCCCCCGCCCCCGCCGGCGATGAGGTTTCAGCGAAAGACACGGCCAGCCTGCGGCATCCTCCGGAGACAGTTACGGGGTTGGGGTGGGGGTCATAGCATCAAAATCGCAGCCTCACCCCCGAACGGGCTCAACCTCAGCGAAAACCTAGGAGCAGTTTCAGCGGAAACGGGGGAGGGGGGGCCTAGCAGCCTCGTTTTATAAAAAGTAGGGGAGGGCTAGGAGTGCGTGGCGGCCCTGAGACCCAGGACAGGTCCCGGGGCGACCGCCCGCAGAATATACCTGCACGAGTGGGGGAACGGAGAGCCTAGGGGAAGGCGCAGCCCCAGACTTCCACCTGGTGCCTCCTAGGGCCTCTCCCAGTTCAACGGTCTCCCCAACCTGTAGCCACCCACAAGAACTGCGCTTTCCGCCCCCAGCTCCTCGCGCAATTCTTGCTGGACCGAGCACTCCGGAGCTCGCCTTTTCTAAACCCCGCCTCGCCTTGCAACCTGATTCGGCCTCATCTGCTCAGCAACTGTTGACGTCACACGAGCACGGCGCGCTCTGAATGGAGGAGGTGTACTAAAGCGCCCAGCCCACTTCGCTGATGACCCCCGCAGGTTCCACCGCAGAGCGCGGTGAGCCCGGCTGCAAAGGGCCGGCGCTGGCGAGAGGGATGGACTGCTTTCAGCCGTGCTCACCCTGCAGCCTCCTCCTCCAGGCTCTGAGGCACTGCTGCTGCTGGCGCCTTGGAGGACGCTGCATCCCTGTCTGGCTCACTCTTGGGGGGGCGGGCACAGGGGGCTGGAGAGGTGGAGAGAGCACCATGGGAGCAGAAAATTTACGGGAGAAGATGCCACGCTTCGGGCTGGGGATCACTGAGGATGCCGAAGGAGGGAAAGACCCAGCTTCCGAAAAGCGCGCTGCAAAGTTCGCGGGCCACTTGGGCCATTGAAAACATGAGAAACCAGGGTACAAAACACCAATTTTATTATAAATATCAAGAAACTACAATGTATCTATGGGCCAGCATCTGCCTGGGGTCAGACTGGAAAGAAGCCAACCTTCCCTTTCTGTGTATTCTAAATATTTCTCTTCATTGTCCGGGTGCTAGCCACAGCAACCCTGGCTCCAAACCCAGTTACACAAGGAGTTAGCACCCCTGTTTTCAACCCTGAAATCTCCATTACCAAGAGGAGCTTGGAGAGCAGGTAACACTCATGGCAAAATTTCAGGCATCACCTAGGGGGTTATGTTTCAGAAGCAGCTACCCATGATGCAGTAAGACCTCTGTTCTCAAACTCTCCACTATAGAGAGGGAGGGAGGGAGACAGAGTCTGCGGGTCTGAGGAGTGTTTCATTCTGGAGCACCTGGCCCGCCAGGAGCCTGCACCATGGCCCAATAGCGTCCTTTATTCGTCATGAGCTGCCAGTGGGTTCCCGCCTCAATGATCGTGCCTCCTTCCAGAAAGAGGATGTGGTCAGCCTGCTCCACCGAACTGAGGCACTGGGTGATGAACAGCACTGACCGGGAGCCCCGCTCAGGGCTTTCATAGAGCAGCTGCTCCACCTGAGGAAACATGCAGACTCTGTCAGAGGTGAGGACTCCTCCTGGCTCAGGAAGACACCTGTGTTTCCAGAGCTGGGATAGACCTTGCCTCAATCAATACCACCTCTACCAATAACCCCAAGGAGAGTGAAGAGTCTCCTTCTGAGTGCTTCTCTGTCAAACTTATGATTCATGAAGGGCTGTTTACATGAGGTGGCAACAGTGGACTAAAAGTCAAGAGTCCTAGGGTGAAACCCAAAACAAAAGAGGGGAGGGTACTGGAAAGTCTCTCCACCCTAATTTTTATATTCTTTTACGGAAATAAAACTGAGTAAAGAGCAATGAGCATTCAAGTCAAGCAGACTTTAACTGGGGTCCAGGTTTAACACTGAGCAGGTAATTCCACCTCTCTTAGTGTCCATGTGCTCATCTGCTGAATGAGGGTGATAACACCCAGCTCACAAGGGCTCGTGATGAGTGAGCAAGAGAGTACATGTGAGGGGCCATCCAGCATGGCTGGCACATTGTAAAAGTTCAATTCACATTAACATCACAAGGATGGCCTTTTGCTCATGTTTGGCTTCACTGATTCAGGATTGTAGATCATCTCCTCTAACCAATTTTAGGCATCTTGGGCTTCCCTGATGGCTCAGTGGGTAAAGAATCCACCCACAATGCAGGAGACACAGGAGACTTGGATTCCATCCCTGGGTCGGGAAGATCCTCTGGAGGAGGAAATGGCAACCCACTCTGGTATTCTTGCCTGGGAAATTCCATGGACAGAGGAGCCTGGCGGGCTACAGTCCAGGGGGTTGCAGAGTCAGATATGACTGAGCTCAGTCATATGGCTCTAGGCACTAGGGCACCTTGGAGAGAAGCTCGTGGGAACTGAGAACTGCAAGGACTGGTTTGGAAAACGTCCACGTTAGTATAATGACAAAGGACGAGTGAAGGAAGGCAGCTTGGGTGGGAAATAGGCAATAAGAAGACGACTGTCTCACCAGGGATTGGCTGTTTGCATCCAGGGCGCTGGTAGCATCATCCAGAATGAGTACGCGTGGTTTCCGGATCAGGGCTCGAGCCAAGGCCACTGCCTGTCGCTGACCCCCTGACAGCTGGCTCCCAGCCTCACCCACCTCTGCAGAGACAAGGGCCAAGGCGAGGGCTGGGTAAGCACACGTGCACCCATGTGTGCATTCCTGCATGCACACACAACAAGGACTGATGGATGCAGCAGGGTAAGAAAGGTTCTGGGAAGGTAAAGGAGTTCTGAGGATATGAGGATGAAAGAGACACCAGAACAGGATCTTACAACTTCAAACTGATGGAGGAGCTAAGGAATGGAGGCAAGAATCAAGGTTTCAGTGAAGGTAAAGATGTCTGGGGGTCGATGGGAGCAAGCACCTGTGTCGTAACCTTCAGGGAGCTCAGAGATAAAACCATGGGCTCCAGACTCCACCGCAGCAGCTGTGATTTCCTCCATGGTCGGCTCCTGGACCAGGCCATAGGCAATATTTTCTTTAAAGCTTCTTCCAAACAGCAGAGGCTCTTGTCCCACAGCAGCTACCTAGGACAAAATAGAATGCAGAGTCATAGAACGAGGAACACAGGAGTGTGGTCATCTAGAGACTAAGGCTGAGCGTCTCCACTGAGAGCCTGTCACAGTGACAAGGCCTCTCTGCTGACCACACGCCCACCTCCACCCAAGGCCTCCTCACTTCCGCTCAGAGTGTTCGCGGAGAAGGCTCTCCTGACTTGAGGCTCCCTGCCCTCCCCCATGCCATCTTCTTGCTCACCTGTCTGTGCAGGTAGCGGTGCTCATATTCGGGAAGGGGCGCCCCATCCAGCAGCACCTGGCCTTCAGTGGGCTGGTACAGGTTCTGCAGCAGCGCGGCCACTGTGCTCTTCCCAGACCCATTGGGCCCCACCAGTGCCGTCACCTCCCCAGGACGAAGGGTGAAGGTCAGCCCCTGGAAGCCGGAGAACCAGACACTAAGAGACAGCCAGAGGCCCCTAACCTTAAGACCAGGTATCATCCACTCATTATGTTGTCTCGTCTATGTCTTCCCCCAGAGAAGAAAGGAGAAAAACGGGAGGAAATACAGTAACTCCTCCCCTCCTGCACACACAGACCCCTCCCCGTGGAGTAGAGATGAAAGATGAAACAAAGACAGAGGCAGAACTTAAGCACCAAGAGCCACATGATGGATCTCAGACACTGTGGGGGGAAGAGAAAAAATTATATTCAAAAGCACAGTTGGAAAGAAAAAGGAACTATGGAAGACTGGAGACACAGCCTCTGCTTCGGTGATGCCTTTCAGGAGAACCTTCTCCCTAAGAGCATCCACAGACATTCTCCTTGGAAATCCGGACTATTCTTGAGCTTGGGGCAGCTTTTTATTTGTCTGTTTATGTATGGCTGTGCTGTGTCTTTACTGCTACGTGCGGACTTTCTCTAGTCGCAACAAACAGGGTCTACTCTAATTTGTGGGGCGTGGACTTCTCATTGCGGTGGCGTCTCTTGTTACAGAGCACAGGCTCTAGGGCACACGGTCTTAGTTGCCCCATGGTGTGTGCGATCCTCCCGGACCAGGGGTCAAACCCATGCCCCCAGCATTGGCAGACAGATTCTTAACCAGCGGACCACCCAGGGAAATCCCTGGGACAGTTTTAGGGGACGAATGCTGCTCATCTTTGCCTCTGAAGGGTGAGGGAGGGTCTATCTATACCTGGTGCTAAGCAGGCTGAAGGCAGGAAAACCATTTAGGATGACGGAGTTGAGAGGGAGTCTGGAGGAACGGAGGGACCTGTAGGTTGTACCTGAAGCACAGGGACATCTGGACGGTTTGGGTAGGCAAAGGAGACACCCTGGAACTGGACGAGGCCACGCAACGTTAAGGAAGCCAATGATCCACTCTTTGGGCAGTTAGGGACCCGGTCCAGGTATTCAAATATTTTCTCTGAAGATCCCACAGCCTTCTGCACCCTGGGATAGCAGGACAGCAGCACCTGGAGGGGAGGTATGAATAGTGAGGTGGGATGTGGGAGGGACCCAGTCTGTTGCCAGGGTTACAGGATATGAGGAGGGCGAAGGAGGGGAGGGAAGTGACTTGGATGGTGCTAGCACTTGGGAGGGAAAAGCACTGGGGAGCGGCCACGGAGGGACCTCACCTGAACAGCTATGGTGAACTGGATCTCGTACAGAA